TTTTTTTTTTTTTTTTTTTTTTTTTTTTTTTTTTTTTTTTTTTTTTTTTTTTGCTTGTTCTTGAAGAAACTGTTTGTTTGATTTGATGTGTTAATGTAATTTGGAATTTGTGGGTTCCTTGATTTCAATCAAATGGATATTTATCCAAAAACTTTTTTTTTTTCTTGTTTGTATAGATAATAACTGCGGTCTCGTTCATAGTCTTTATTAATTTAATGGTCGTATCCAACTTGGATTGTACCGTGATTTCTTTATTTGGTTCCCGAGCTATGAACTCACCTGTGTTTTTTCTTAGTTTGTTGGGCTACTCCTCACATCTACACCAAGTGTACAGAAATTTGATTTTATCGGTCTCGAATAAGGTGGGGAATCCTCGTTTTAACGATAAAACGGGGAACGATTGAGGGAATGAAATAGGTTTTTTTCTCCGTCCCCATCGAGTTTCCGACACTGTACTCATCCAACTTAATATAAATATATTTTTCAACACAAATATTTCTATTTTTGGTCATATTAAAAAAATTAAATTAGTTATTTCTTAAACTAATGTTTAAAATAAAAATTACGTTTTAAATTTTTGTAATATTAAATTTTGAATTTTAAAAATTATATAGTAATTATATTTTTGTTTAAATTTATTAAGATTTTTTTAAAAAAATTCTAATAAAAATTATATTAAAAAATGAAAATTTTAAAATCACTATTTTTTAAAAGAATAATAAACAGTAAAAATTTACAATGGGTAAGTTGATCCCGGCACACCCTCATTCCTAAAAAATAAATTGAGAATTTTGTAGGGACGAGAAATGAAATAGGTGGTAAAGATAAGGACGGAGAAGGCTTCTTCATCCCCGTCATGTCCTTGTGGACATCTATACTAGTGCACCTGGTAATCATTTTTTGTCTCGTGATGCTCGTTAAGAACGTGTGGACATGAACATACAATACATTGAAATGAAATGGATATATAGAATATATAAGTATGATTTAAAAAGATTTTAAAAAGAAATAATATATACCCGAAGTAAGAATCTAGTCCTAGGTCCACGTAAGTTCTTTGGGCGCGATGTTGAGTAGGGCGCTAGGTTGACCTATAAGAGAGATACTCACACCGACGTTACACTTTGATCTATACATTGCAATACTTAAGTCAATATTTAAACTTTATTGCACGGGTATTTATAGAGTTCCTCGTCGTCTCACAAAGAATTTGTACGTAAAGCAACAATGGAAACAACGATAGAGACTACAAATGCCTCATCTATCAAGTTGGATGAATTTTTCTCTCTCTTTTGACTCTCGAGTTTCGTCTCCTCAACTTAGTAAGCTTCACAAGCCCTTCAATAGGCATTGACAAATGGACGGTTCACGTACGTCTTCACTAGAGTATAGTATTAGTATCCAATATGCAACAAAATCTCAAGGTCGTTCCAAATCTTAATTCCTCTCTCTGAACTATACGGTTCCTTAGCTCAACTAACATAAAACATATTATAGTCAATCGAGACGTCAAATAAAATAATAATTATTATTATTGTGGATTTATTGCGTTAAAAAAGATATTGGAAAAAAAAATTATTTGAATAAATAAATAAATAAATATATTTATTTTAAATGTGAAAAATAAGAAAAACACCATGGAGGGTGTGTGAAATTGACGTCATAAAAGGAAATTATTATTTATAATTTTGTCATTACATATATTTTTAGAATGACATTAATGACTGAAATTATTTAAAATATACATTTAATGAAAACTTTATAATAAATAGTTAGAGAAAAATAGAACAAATTAATATATACTTTTTCATTGGTTTGTCTAAAAGAAAACAACTTCACACCAAAAATTATCACCAACAGTATTTTGTATTAATGTTTTTGTAGCAAATGTGACAAAAAGACGAAATAAATTAATGAAATAAATGCCAATTCAACCCGTAATGTGTTCTATTTCCGCTCTCGTTTAAATTGAAAAAAAATTAAGTTACATAGGCTGATCACGAGCGTATACGGGTTCGGTTGGATTAGGTTGAGAGATTTTTTTTAGGACTAACTCGAAAATTTGGATTGGTTAGATTGGTGACTCGAATAACTAAAACAGAATCCATAACCCAACCATTGAGCTCGGTTACGTCGTCCAATTGTTCATATTTTTTTTAATTATTTCACGTAAATGAGAAAGGAACCTATCCACATAAATGCCCACCTCCCTCTCTAGGAGTTAGTAGGAAACTAAATTAGGGTTTAGCTGGCACAAAATTATTTCAATAAATGGTGGGTGTCCTCTGTACGGGGAATGGAGAAGGGAGTGGATAACATTTTTTTCTCGTTAGATGGTGTTTGAAATCACGAACCTCTACAATGGTATAATATTGTCCACTTTGAACATAAGCTCTCGTGACTTTGCTTTGGGTTCTCTCAGGAGGCCTCATACAGAGACGTATTCTTTACTTATAAGTCCATATGAGCATTCCCTAAATTAGCACGCGTGGGACTCCCTCCCAACAATTCTCAACATATGGGGTTGGGGACGGGATAATACTTCCTGTTCCACCTCACCCTGCTAGTAGATATTGTCCACTTCGGCCCGTTACGTATCGCCGTCAGTTTCACGATTTTTAAAATGCATCACCTAGGGAGAGGTTTTCACACCCTTATAAAAAATGTTTCATTCCCATCTCCAACCGACGTGGGATCTCACAATCCACCCCCCTTCAGAGCCCAACGTAGCACTCGTTGCCCTCTCCAATCGAGGTGGGATCTCACACAGCCAATCTACTCGAGCTTTAAAAAGGAGATGGATGGAGTAAACAAAGATGTGTTTCCCTTCCCATGTTCTACCATGTTACCAAGGGAGGCATAAGAACTATTAGCACCCCAAAAAGAAAGTGATAGCCCTAAATTGACTTCAAAATACACATTCATATGTTAACCAAGATTTGTGGCGTAACTAATGGAAGGATTGAGCATGACTACACATTTTGAGGGCCCCAACACCTCTTGGAGTATAGCTTGAAGTACCGTCATTTTGCCCTTGTTGATAGGGATGCCAAAAGTTCTTGTTCGAAATCTGGTTCGGATATTAAATTTTCATCTACGTATCCATAATTTTGTTCATATGAATCGACATTTTAATTATACAGTTAAAAAAAGTATAACTAAGACTTCTAGATTTACAGTGTTTCAATGATGTATTAGGTTACTCCCACATCGGTTGGAGAGGAGAACAAAATATTCCTTACAAGGGTGTGAAATCTCACCCCAGCAGACACGTTTTAAAATTGTGAAGCAGATCTTGCCTTTAGATATTTGATTTACATGGTAATCCGAACCTTACTTTCCTTAATATTTTAGATCTAAAGGTCTTGTTGTTCAAAACGATGGTCATTCAAGACCCGAAACAACCCCTCTATCTTATTTTTAAGCCCTTTTCCCTTATCCATCTCCCCCAGAGGCCCAAACCTCAAAAGCTCATTCTTCCCAAACATAGAGTACATGTGCCCCAAAGGTTCTACCTTACCTATTCCACGTTCATTTGTAGTACAATATAAGGTTATTTAAGGATTGAATCTTTTGTGATTCGGTAGAGATACTGTGAGTTCCCCACGTGGGTTGGAGAGGAGAACGAAACTTTTTTTTATAAGAGTGTGGAAATCTCTCACTAGTAGATGCATTTTAAAATTGTGAGGCTGATGGCGATAAATAATGGGCCAAAGCGGACAATATCTACTAGCAGTAGGTTTGGACTGTTACACATGGTATCAGAGTCAGACACCAGGTGGTGTGCCAACGAAGACGCTAGGCTCCCAAGGAAGGTGGATTGTGAGATCCTACATCAGTTGGAGAGGAGAATGAAACATTTCTTATAAGGGTGTGGAAACCTCTCACGAGGAGAATGAAACATTCTTTATAAGGGTCTCTCCCTAGGAGAATCAAACCTTCCTTAGAACGGTGTGGAAACCTCTCCCTAGTAGATGCGTTTTAAAATCGTGAGGTTGACGAAGATACGTAATGGGTCAAAGCAGATACCTCTTCCTAGTAGATGCATTTTAAAATCGTGAGGCTGATGACGATACGTAATGGGTCAAAGCGGATAATATCTACTAGCAATGCTTGACATTCCTTATAAGGGTGTGGAAACCTCTCCATAGTAGACGGGTTTTAAAACTATGAGGTTGACGGCGATACAAAACGGGTCAAAACGGACAAAAGAAGATAATATGCATTAGCAGCGGGCTTGAGCAATTACCGACGATAAATTTGTGAAGAAATGAAGTATGTTTCAATTTTCAACTTTTTTCTGTATGTTCAAGCTGATAAATGGGGACTGAGTTGATTCCAGACTGGACTTCCTAAAAGGGATCCCACTTTCAAATGAAGTTAGGAAAAGTCATGGCTGTGTATTTAGAGTCATTTATGATAGCACATGGTTTGTCTTTCTAATTTATCATCAATAACGTGCTTCTCAATGAAAGGTGTTCAATCTCAGCTACCATGGCTTGGTGAACAACCTTGCATGGATCCCACTTAAATTTGCGGTAGATTTATGAGTATTAGTGTGATACCCGAGTAAAGGAAAAATTCAAATGCAAGTGATCTTGAGGATATGATGCTTGAGAAAGACGTAAAAGAAACGAACCCACTACCTATACAAATAAGGTGCACTTTCCTTTTTAGTGGCTCAGTCGTAAGAACTCTAATTAAGGGTACTTTAGTTGGAGCAATCCTATTGTGAGATCCCACGTCGGTTGGAGAGGAGAATGAAACATTCCTTATAAAGGTGTGGAAATCTCTCCCTAACCTACGCGTTTTAAAAATCTTGAGGGAAAGCCCAAAGAGGACAATATCGGCTAGTGGTGGGTTTGGGCTGTTACAAATCCTATGTTGGGTGACCTCATGGAAATTTTCCTAGGAAGCATATGAGTACGGAATAAAAAACAACCCGTGTTGGTCTGTGGGGATAATCTTCACTCTTAGAAATGAAAAACTATGTCGTAAGAGAATTTTAGAGTCATTAGATTTCGGATTCCAAATCCTGATCCTAATCCTAGGTACGAACGCACAATCTAATATCAGTCTAGCTTCCTGGTAGGACATTCTCAATACTTTGTTAATCACAATAATTAGTCTCTTAATTAGAAATTTGGTAGCCTTTGTCATAGGGACCTTCAACCAACAAATTGTTAACTAGAGAGAAGTATGAACACTAAACAACAGATTGAATTCAAAGAATCAAGTTCTCATTCAAAAATGTTAAGACTATACATTGTATGCTATTCTAATCATTGTCCTCTGCTATCTACTTTTGTAAATATATCCCTCAACTCTGTGTGAGACTGAGGAAAGTTTCTTCACTGCAAGGAATTGTGATGCCACCCATTGGATGATCATATCCAAATTCTTCCTCTGCTTCACTCAATAAATCTTGAAATGAAGGTTGGTTCAGGCAAGACAGTGGGACGACGAATCGCTTCTTTTGTACCTCACCAACATAAACTGTAAAGTACCCCTTTGGAACATCTACGCCCTTTGGAGACGCTCCATTTCCTCTTGATGTAGATCGTTGAAGACTTTTCTTAGCATGAACAATACCAGGCAACCGAAAACCCATGGCGTTACTAAGCTGAAAATTTCTTTTGATAATTGGAATGTGGAGAATGAGTTGATTTTGAGCTCAACTGCATGATCTTTATATAGGAAGATGAGATTGAATGGTAGAGAGATATGAGTCATTGCCAATCACATGGATTTGTCCTCCAAGACATTATGGGGATATCATATTCATGTGATCAATGGCCATATTGTATACTTTAGGCACGAACATCATGGCCTACCTTTGTCTCTAGATGACAACCAGCTAAGAAACTTTGTTGGTTGTTGGTGTTAGTAGAGAATTCAGAAAATTCTTAGGCAGGGATAATGAGGTGTAGCTGAAATTTAGAGGTGCCAAGAATGTGAAATAGTATAGGATAGAAATAGAAGAGGCGTCCCACGATTGGCATTTGTTTTTTTTGGATGAAGAATCCAACATTCATAACAAGATATTGATGTATTCTAACGTTGGAGTTTCATAACAAGCTAACCTTGAACTACAGAGTGTGAGTGTTTTCTATAAAAGGGTTGCATTCAACAAAGTGAACCAGCTGGTTCAGTCTTTCCATCGTTCATGGTGGAAGGTGTACAATCTCAGACACCATTGCATGGATCCCACTTAAATTTGTGGGAGATTTATGAGTATTAGTGTCACACTCGATTAAAGGAGGGGTACATGAATGAACTGAGACCACATCTGAATAAGAGTGATTCTGCTTGAGAAAAGTTTCAAATATTTTAAGTCATTGCCTATACCAACAAGGTGCACCTTCCTTTTAGTGGCTCAATGATAGGAACTCCAGAGTTAAACGTGCTTTGTTTGAAGCAATCTTATGTTGGGTGGCTTCCTCGGAATTTTTTAAAGAAGAATGTGAGTGAGGACAAAGCATTCTGAAAGGACCCGTGTTGGTCTATGGGATAATCATCACTCTTTGATGCGAAAACTAAGTAACATGACCATGTCACTGTTGGATGATGAAATTCCCACATCGGTTAATTTAGGAAATGATCATGGGTTTATAATCAAGGAATACTATCTCCATTGGTGTGAGGCCTTTTGGGGAAGCCCAAAACAAAGCCATGAGAGCTTATGCTCAAAGTGGACAATATCATACCATTGTGGAGAGTCGTGTTCATCTAACATGGTATCAGAGCCATGCCCTAAACTTAGCCATGCCAATAGAAAAGATGACTCCAAAAGAAAAGGAGTCGAGCCTCCTCGAAGGCATGGTAAAAAATGACTAAGACTCTAAAAGAAAAAGGAGTCGAGCCTCGATTAAGGGGAGGCGTACTTTGTTCGAGGGGAGGTGTTGGATGATAAAAGTCTCACGTCGGTTAATTTAGGGAATGATAATGGGTTTATAATCAAGGAATATTATCTCCATTGGTGTGAGGCCTTTTGGGGAAGCCCAAAGCAAAGCCACGAGAGCTTATGCTCAAAGTGGATAGTATCATACCATTGTGGAGAGTCGTGTTCATCTAACAGTCACAAGGGTAGTCGGCATTCAAGTTCAAGTTGTTAAATCATCTAGTTTCAATAATGTAAAGAATTATGAACACTGAAGAATAGTTTCAACCAATCAAGTTTTCTCATTTCAAAAAGGTTTACATTGTGTACTATTCTGATCCTTTTTCTGTACAATCTATCTAGAATTGATGTTAATCTCTCTACTTCATGACTCATTCAAACTCCGAGTGAGATTGAGGAAAGCGTCTTCACTGCAAGGAATTGTGATGCCACCCATTGGATGTTCATATCCAAATTCTTCTTCTGCTTGACTCAACAAATCTTGAAATGAAGGTTGGTTCAAGTAAGATAGTGGGATCACAAAACGCTGCTTTTCTACCTCGCCAACATAAACGGTGAAGTACCCCTTTGGAACATCGACAGCCTTGGGAGATGCTCGATTTCCTGTTGATGAAGAACGTTGAAGGCTTTGTCTGGCATGAACAATCCTTGGTAAACGGAAACCCATGTTGTAATATGTTTCAAAAAGAAATATGAGGAAATTTCTTTAGAGAATTGGAATGTGGAAAGACTCTTGTTGGTTGTGTATCCATATAAGAAGAGCTTTATATAGACGAAAGGCTTAAGTTTGTCATAGATAGAGATAAGATAGGGAGATGAAATTCAATTCTAGAGAGACATTAGCTCATGACCTGCCACATGGTGTGTCTTCCAAGCCATTATGAGAATTTCAAATATTTGGTCATTCTGTATACCTTGTGAACTAACATCATGGCCTACTTGTGTCTACAAATAACAACTGGAGAAGTAAGTTGAACAGATCTCTAATAGCAGAATGGACATATCAGAGTTTCTCAAGCCCTTGTTGTCCTTGTGGTGGAACAAAATTTTAGTTGCATTTAATAGCTATGTGGAAGGGTTCCAGCTAAGAAACTATGTTGGTTGTTAGTATAAACAGAGCACTCTGAAAAATCTTAGAGAATGGGACAAACTTGCCAAGTTTGATTGATATGGTGCATCAATTTGACTGGTACAACAAGAACTTAGAGGTACAAATAGATATAAACAGGATGGAGATATATGAGAAAGCCTATTGTGCATAACATGACGAATAGATCCGTAACCTTTTAACTTAATAAACTGAGTGCTTATTTCTGGAATGATATTTGTGTTAGGATCGCACAACAACGCACACACTCGATCTAGATGAACACGACGAACTGGAGAGAGAAAATGCAAGGAAAAATATTGGCTAAAGGTTTATATGCATGACTTCAGGTATGTACCGGAAGAGAATATAGAGAAGGCAGAAAATACATTTTCAAATCACTACCTAAGGAATATATATATGGTTCAGTTTACTATATATAGTTTTACCAGATATAACCATCTACTATATATAACTATCTACCACAGAAGAAGAACAATGCTTTTGACAATTCAAATGTAAGGGTTGAACAACTGATGTGCCTTTCAATTATGGATATTGTATGGGAATTATGCAGCACTCGAGTTCTTTCAAGCCTGAGAATAATGTTCAGTCTTGGAGTTTCTGAAAAATCTGTACAACATGAATGGCCAACTTTCTTGAATGATATCTGCAGACTCTTGAGCCAATTGGCTTCTAGCTGTTTTCCGAGTTTAGTTTACAGTTCAAGAAAGAAGGGCAAGATGAATGAGACGGACCAGGAAGTCAAGATGTTACCAAAAACAGGTATCAAAATTGATTTTGGAATTGCCTTCAGTGTGTTCTTACAAAGAATATGAAGATATGATAAGGGTATAAAATCACATAATGCGGTATAAATAGATGACCAATAAATGGTCAAGAAGTCCACAAGAATGTGGCTAAACTAATGTTGGTGCCACTGCAGGAAGAACAGTGGAAACGAATCATCACATGGGTATGTTCTCAAAGTGGTTGATAATGAATTGGTAGTGATTGTGACTTTATATCTGTTGGTATACAAATTTTCGACAACCATTCAAGAACGAACGTCCTAGAGATGACCCCGCTTTCGAATAAAATTGAAGAAATATAGTAGCAAACTATTAGATTCATTTATGGATAGCACATGGGTTGTCTTTCTAACTTATCATCAATAACATGTTTCTGACTGAAAGGTGTTCAATCTCAGCTACCATTGCTTGGTGAACAACCTTGCATGGATCCCACTTAAATCTGTGGTAGATTTATGAGTATTAGTGTGATACCGCTTAAAGGAGGGCACATTAATGAACTAAGACCACATCTGAATGAGAGATTACGAGAATAGGATGCTTGAGAAAGATTTCAAAGATTTGAAGTTATTGTCTATACCAACACGGAGCACCTTCCTTCCGGTGGCTCAATGATAGGAACTCTAGAGTTAAACGTGCTTTGTTTGAAGCAATCTTATGTTGGGTGGCTTCCTCATAATTTTGTTAGGAAGAATGTGAGTGAAGACAAAGCATTCTAAAAGGACTCGTGTTGGTCTGTGGGGATAATCATCACTCTTTGAAGCGAAAAGTAAGTAACATGAATCATGTTACAACGGATAGTCATCGTTAAAGTTCAAGTTGTTAAATCATCTAATATCAGTAACGTAAAGAATCATGAACACTAAAGAATAGCTTCAACCAATCAAGTTTTCTCATTTCAAAAATGTTTACATTGTGTACTCTTCTAATCCTTTTTCTGTACAATCTAGAATAGATGTTAATCTCTATACTTCATGAGTCATTCAAACTCCGAGTGAGATTAAGGAAAACGTCTTCACTGCAAGGAATAGTGATGCCACCCATTGGATGATCATATCCGAATTCTTCTTCTGCTTCACTCAACAAAGCTTGAAACGAAGGTTGGTTCAAGTAAGATAGTGGGATCACAAAACGCTGCTTTTCTACCTCACCAACATAAACGGTGAAGTACCCTTTTGGAACATCGACAGCCTTGGGAGATGCTCGATTTCCTGTTGATGAAGAACGTTGAAGGCTTTGTCTGGCATGAACAATCCTTGGTAAACGGAATCCCATGTTGTAATATGTTCTAAAAAGAAATACGAGGAAATTTCTTTTGAGAATTGGAATGTGGAAAGACTCTTGTTGGTCGTGAATCCATATAAGAAGAGCTTTATATAGATGAGAGGCTTAAGTTTATCAAAGATAGAGATAAGGTAGGGAGATGAACTTCAATTCTAGAGAGACATTAGCTCATGATGTGTCTTCCAAGCCATTATGAGAATTTGAAATATCAGGTCATTATGTATTCCTTGTGAAGAAACATTATGGCCTACTTTTGTCTCCAAATGACAACTGGAGAAGTAAGTTAGAACAAATCTCAAGCCCTGTTGTTGTCCTTCTGGTGTAGCAAACTTTGGTTGCATTTAATAGCAATGTGGAAGGTTCAATTTAAAGGAAGATCATGCTGTTTTACTTCCTTATCTTTTCATGGATTCTCATTCATTTTTTCACCTCTTGAGATCTTTGCATTGTTCAATTTAAGACACTGTTAAGTGTGTTGTCATTATGAATTAGTCAGAATAGAAAGCTGTGAAGTTATAATCATAAGCTTAAGCACGTTGGTTGGGAGGGGAATGAAGCATTCCTTATTAGGGTGTGAAAGTCTTTCCGTAGACGCGTTTTAAAACTTTTAAGGGAAGTCCAGAAGGAAAAACCCAAAGAGGACCATGTCTTTTAACAGTGGGCTTGGGCCGTTACAAATGGTATCAGAGTCAATCATGGACGCTGGCCCTTAAGGGGGTGGATTGTGAGATCCCACATCCGTTGGAGAGGGGAACGAAACATTCCTTATAAGAGTGTGGAAACCTCTCCTTAGTAGACGCGTTTTAAAACATTGAGGGGAAGTCTGGAAGGGAAAGCCCAAAGATGACAATATCTTCTAGGGGTGGGATTGGGTTGTCACAAATGGTATTAGAGCCAGACACCGGGTGGTGTGCCAGCGAGGACGTTGGGTGTCACGGTCATGCTTGTCCAAGGCGTGTTGTCTATGGCCGCATGGCAGATGTTTCGGTCTTGCTTGTCCGAGTTGGTTGACAGAGATGTCAACTAATTGAGTGGGGGAGGATGTCACAGTCATGCTTGTCCAAGGCGTGTTGCCTATGGCCGCATGGTGAATGTCTCGATCTTGCTTGTCCAGGGGACGTGTTGTCCATGGTTGCACGCCCGTTCCAAACCCCTTTTACATGCTTTCATCCTAGATAAGTCTTTACCATTTTACATTGGGTCAATACGGGGGTGTATGACCATTCACCAAAACCATGTCTACACCCACCCGGACTAAAATGTCCCAAAATGTACTATAGGGGAATATAACTAGTTGTCACTTCTTCCTACCCTGAGTTATATGCTATTTAAACCGTGATATTTCTTTATTTTTTTATAGTCATATAACGTTCCTTTCTTCAATTCTTCAAATCGTTTTCAAATGTATGTCCTCACTCACATTTTCTATACCTTTTCTTGCGACATGACTCAAGGCCCAAACATATGCCGATATTGTCCGCGACATACGAATTTCTCACAGCTGACTTGTTCTCTTGGTTAGAACAAGTGCCGCACAATCGCTGTCCCGCTATCGCAAGAGTACGATTGTGACACTCAGCCTCCAAGGGGGGTGGATTGTGAGATCCCACATCGGTTGGAGAAGGGAATGAAACATTCCTTATAAAGGTGTGGAAATCTCTCCCTAATAGACGCGTTTTAAAACCTTGAGGTGCCCAAAAGGGAAAGCCCAAAGAGAACAATATTTGCTAGCAGTGAGTTTGAGCCGTTAGATGACAATTCATTAGTCTATATATCTCTTTATTTCTGAGCATAATTAGATGTCGCTGTTCTAAAATTCTGCCAATTTGAAGAAAAAACATAGAAAGAAGTAACCAATTTGAACACTTCTATATTCAAAAGAAGTAATCAGTTCAATGCAATGCTTTGTTCATGAAAAGAACTATGAACAGTGTACAACAATTTCTATTCAAAGAATCAAGTTCTCTCACAATTCTGTACTTATCTAATTCTATGTCTATACCATCTATTCTAAACACTAATCCCTCTGGTTCATGAGCCATTCAAGCTACAAGTGACATCAAGGAAATGGTCTTCACTGCAAGGAATAGTGATGCCACCCATTGGATGATCATATCCAAATTCTTCTTCTACTTGACTCAACAAATCTTGAAATGAAGGTTGGTTCAAGTAAGATAATGGAATGACAAAACGCTTCTTTTGTTCTTCACCAACATAAACTGTAAAGTACCCCTTTGGAACGTCGACCACTGATGCTCCGTTTCGAGACAATGAAGATCGTCGAGGACTTTGCTTAGCATTAACAATTCTAGGCAAACGGAAACCCATATCACAGTATCTTTCAAAGAGAAGTAATGAGTTTCTTAGAGGATATGGAAGACTCTTGTTGATTATGAACCCATTTACTTAGACCTTTATATAGATGAAGAACTAAAGATACTCAAAGATTCAATGCCAGAGTGACATTGGCTCATGACCTATCACATGAGTGGGCCTTCCAAGCCTTTATGTGATATATGCTCATCATCATGTCCTACTTGTGTCTCCAAATAACAACTGGAGAAGTGAGTTGAGTTAGCCTCTAAAATTTTAATGGGACTATGGACATAATAGAGACATTGAAGCCCTTGTTGTCCTTCTGCTACAACAAAGCTTTAATTGCATTTAATAGCTGTCTGTTACTTCTTGCTTCAAAAGAAAAGATTTCAGCTAAGAAACCTTGTAGGTTGTTTGTTATAGTTGAGAGCTCTGAAAATTCTTTAGCATGGATACCGTGGTACCACTGAAACATAGAGAGGTACATCGAACGCTATAGTACAGGATGGGGAGACCCCATTTTAGCACTCTATAAGACGATAAAACAGCATTCATAGCAAGACAATTGTATAGATGCTATATGTGAGATCCCACCTTGGTTGGGGAGGAGAACGTGAAAACCTCTCCCTAGCAGACGCGTTTTAAAAACTTTGAGAGAAGCTCGAAAGGAAAAGCTTAAAGAGAACAATATCTACTAGCAGTGAGCTTGGGCTGTGACTGTAACTTTTTACATACTTAACGTTCAGTGCCTATTTTTTCATGGAACTTGCACAGCCCAGGTGACTGCAGAGCAAGGAGGAGAAACATTGGCTTTGCTTGTATTGTGGTGATTCGAAAAGAAAAGACCTTCATTGTGAGGGATCTACATAGTTTTGCCAAGAACCTGACGAAAGACAGACGTGAATCTAAAAAGTAAGGCGTGCTCGATAACCATTTGGTAAAAGTAGTGTTTATAAGCTCAGTTTTCATTAGACGACTCTATTTCCTATTTGAGGTTAAGGGAAACAATTGAGTTGTATTTCCGTCTGTTATATTCTGAAATCCGTGTTAGGAATCACGACTCTCCACAATGGTATGACATTTTCCACTTTGAGCATAGCTCTCATGACTTTGCTTTGGGCCCCTCGAACAAAGTACACCATAGAGCCTCCCCTTAATCGAGGCTCAACTCCTTCTCTGGAGCCCTCGAACAAAGTACACCCTTTGTTCGACACTTGAGTCACTTTTGACTATACCTTCAAGGCTAGCAATTTCTTTGATTGACACTTGAGGATTCTATTGACATGACTAAGTTAAGGGCATGACTCTGATACCAAGTTAGGAATCACGACTCTCCACAATGATATGATATTGTCCGGTTTGAGAATAGGCTCTCATAGTTTTGCTTTAGGCTTCCACAAAAGACCTCATACCAATCGGAGATGTATTTCTTACTTATAAACCCATAATCATTCCCTAAATTAGCCAACGTGGGACTCCCTTCCAACAATCCTCAACAATCCGAATTCAGGACCTGCTTAGCCCCGACATTCCCATGCTTTCCTTACATCTCTTTTTTGTTGTGTATGATCAAATAAAGAAAACGTCTAAACTAGGGAAATAGTATATCATGAAGAACAGGTTCTGCTTGTTCATCTACCATTTCTTGGTGAACAATTTGGATTTGTTTCTATTAGTCATTTGGTAATTCAGTGGTTGATAAGATAGAACCAATACTCTGTTAATCACATTACTTAGTCACTTAAGAAATTGATAGTGTCTAAACTAATTAATATCCATTTCTTGAAGTTTCAGTTTGAGAGATTCCTAAATGAGTAGCCACTCCATATCAGGGCAGAAGGTATGAGTATTGCATCAGATATTTTGGCTTCAAAATTCAAACTCCTGATTGAATTCCATTTCATTAACAGTTCTTTCACTGAAAAGTACTTTGAAAAAATTCAATCAACTCATCAAAGATTGACTTGAATGTGAAACTTGCATTCCTTTCTTGAATATCAAGTTATGAAAGACATGTCTCTATCAAGTTAGCCTGGTTTATTGCCTACTTATAAGCAGCCCTTCAAATAAAATAACAATGGAGAGCTTCTTTTGTTGAGTGTTTCTTCTTATGTCATATGGATTCCTCTAATAGTTCATCCTCTTCTTCGACCGAGACGAACTTGCTCTCACCGATTGTTCTGTTGTCGAACATCTGCAACCTGATATCGATTAAGCTCGACTCGACGAATTATGTCCTTTGGAAGTTTCAGTTAACAACGCTTTTGAAAGCTCATAAACTTTTTGGCTTTATTGATGGTACTCAACCATGTCCGATATCGAATCCTTCGTACGACGATTGGTTTGCTAAGGATCAAGCTCTTATGACAGTCATAAATGCTACACTTTCACCTGAGGCTTTGGCATATGTGGTTGGTAGCACTACTTCTAAACAGGTTTGGAATGTTCTTGCAAAGCTTTATTCTTCTAGTTCAAGGTCTAATGTAGTGAATTTGAAGTCTGATCTACAAACTATTTCCAAGAAGTCTGATGAATCTATTGATGCCTATATTAAACGGATTAAGGAGATCAAGGACAAGCTTGCTAATGTTTCTACTGTTGTCAATGATGAGGATCTTCTTATCTATGCTCTAAATGGCCTACCAACCGAGTATAATACTTTTCGAACGTCGATGCGTACGCGTTCTACGCCTGTTACTTTTGAAGAACTTCATGTTCTTCTAAAAGCTGAGGAATCAGCTCTTGCAAAACAGTCTAAGCGTGATGATTTGTGTAAACAACCAACTGCTTTACTTGCTTCTTCTCAATCTCTCATGTCTTATGCTTCTACTTTTAATAATAACTTTGTTCGAGGTCGTGGACGTGGACATGGACATGGACGTTCTTCTTTTGATACTCAAGGTCGCGGTGGTGGTTCTTCCCAACAGCAGCAGTTGGTTGTTGCTAATAATCATTCATCTTGTCAGATTTGTTTACGTCGTGGCCATATTGCGCTCGATTGTTTCAATCGTATGAACTATAATTTTCATGGACGCCACCCTCCACATCACCTTGCTGCAATGGTTGCATCCCAGAATAATGCTTTTCTGTCTATTGTTAATTCTGATATGAATTATCTTTCTCTTGCATCTGGATATCATGGTGAAGAACAAGTTGGCGTTGGTAGTGGACAGTCTCTGCCTATTTCTCATTCAGGTTGTGGTACTTTTGAAACTCCTCCTCCTCCTCGAGGCGAGTCGTGATTCCTAACATGGTATTAGAGCTATGCCTGTAACTTAGCCATGTCAATAGAATCCTCAAATGTCGAACAAAGAAGTTGTGAGCCTCAAAGGTGTAGTGAGAAGTGACTCAAGTGTCGAACAAAAAGTGTACTTTGTTTGAGGACTCCAGAGAAGGAGTCGAGTCGAGTCTCGATTAAGGGGATGAGGACTCCAGAGAAGGAGTCGAGTCGAGTCTCGCTTAAGGGGAGACTGTTTGAGGGCTTCACCATAGGCCTCAGGGGAGACTATAGTGTACTTTGTTCGAGGGAAAGACTGTTGAGGATTGTTGGGAAGGAGTCCCACGTTGGCTAATTTATGGGAATGATTATGGGTTTATAAGTAAGAAATACATGTTCATTGGTACGAGGCCTTTTGGGAAGCCCAAAACAAAGCCATGAGAGCTTATGCTCAAAGTGGACAATATCATACTATTGTGGAGAGTCGTGATTCCTTACATGGTATCAAAGTCATGCCCTTAACTTAGCCATGTCAATAGAATCCTCAAACGTCGAACAAAGAAGTTGTGAGCCTCGAAGGAGTAGTCAAAAGTGACTCAAGTGTCGAAAAAGGGGTGTACTTTGTTCGAGGACTCCAGAGAAGGAGTTGAGCCTCGATTAAGGGGAGGCCTTTCGAGGAAGCCCAAAGTAAAGCCATGAGAGCTTATGCTCACAGTGGACAGTATCATACCATTGTGGAGAGTCGTGATTCCTAATATCCTCCTCCTCTTCTTCTTTGTATTCCTAATATTGTCGTTAATCTCAATTGTCTCATCAATTTTTGTTTTGATCAATTTTCATTTCAGGACAAGTAATGGAGCAAAATTTTGTTCCAAAGAACTAGCACTAATGGTCTATACCTGACTTCAAAAGCTATCCTACTGCTACTAATGTTGATACCAAGTGTTATTTCATTCATGTTGTTGTTCATTAAGTTTGTTCTTTTCCTGTTGAATCTTCCATGTTCTTCAAATAATTGAGTATGAGAATATTGTCTACGATCAAGGACGGTTTCTTTGCACTTTTTAGAACATCGAACAAAAGAACTAAGGTGGGTGGAAATGTAACAGCCCAAGCTCACCGCTAGCAAATATTGTCTTCTTTAGGCTTTTCCTTCTGGGTTTCCCCTCAATGTTCCAAAACGCGTTTATTAGAAAGAGGTTTCCACACTATTATAAGAAATGTTTCGTTCTTCTCTTCAACCGATGTAGGATCTCACAGGAAAGCTCCTTAGAAAAGCAAAATCAGAAAGATAATTTTCCTCTGTGAAAGTGGGTTGTGTCGTCAACAAAATACAACCCCTGACGAGAACATGATTTACTTGTATGTCAATTACCTCTTTAAACAAACCTTATTTTTTCATAAATTTATATAATTTTGTACGTAATAAGGTATTCATGACTAAGAATGTTATAAACTACGTGACTATAGGACACCAATCCTAATACGTTAAGCTTTACAACTTCTTTGAACAAGAAAGAATATTTTACATTGAAGAAATGAAACGAGACGAATACTCAAATGATACGAACTCCACTAACGAAAAAGAAAAAACAACGAAGAAAGATCAAGTCTTACCATTCTCATAATCTCCGAACCTACAACTTCTTAATTTGTTTTTCTCGAGTATCCTTTAAGATTTTAAAGGGTATGGTAAAATTTTCTTTCCTCTTATCGTCTATCAATAAAAATATCTAATAAGTGACTCCACTGTTGAGGTCGAAAAATGAAAACCATACACACAAATGCCTATGAAAGATGGGTGAATGTCGAAATTGAGAGAGGATTCGAGGTGGAGAAGGAGACAACA